GGTCGTGATCTGGCTGATAACCATCATTCGGTAGTCGAAGCCTGCAGAGGCCTGGGACATGCGCATAGACACGGCGTTCACAAAGTTAAGGTTCACGTGGTTCAGCGCGTCACGCGCAACCTCCATGCGCTCCAGCACCTGCGAGAGCTCCACAAACGCCTCTCGATACGCCCGCACCGCGCCAAGGTCACGCGAGACGAACGTTGTGCGCATGGTGGGCCCCATCAATTCCTGCAGCAGCTTCTCCTTCAGGTACAGCCGCGCGTTCTCCGTTGACATGCGGCGGCGCAGCACCGCGATGCGGCGCAGGAGGTCCGACTGGTCGCGCTTGCCGGGCGCAACGAGCATCACCATCTCGTCGATGCAGTCCACCTCGCTGATCAGCCCGGTAGGGTTGGGGAGGTACGTCTCACACGTAAAGCACACCAGCGCGCAGAGTACTCCAGAAGCCCTCACAGTGAGCATATTATTCGCTTCCAACTCACGGACCTCAGGCAGTGACTCCTGAACGAAGCGGCTGCCGCCTACCTTCACTTGGTGCAGCACTTCTGCGAGGCCGAGAAATGGGACTGCGTGCATCGTCAACAAAAAATGTTCGTTACATGCAAATGAGCAGACAACTGTATTGTCATCATCCTCCGTGTCAAGCGCACACCGTCTTTGAGCACATGCGCACGCGATGCCGCCAATGAGGTACTCGCCCTTCACTGGTTGCAATTCCACCGCGTCTTGCGCTTCCGGTCTTAGCACATCCTCCATCTGACTTGGCTCCATTTGTGGAAAGAGCAGCTGGAGAACCATGCGGTTTTGCTCCTCGGTGCACCCCTGCATGTCCACCCACACGCATCCATTCTCCGTGGTCGATACCTCCTTCTGGAGGAAGTTCCTCAGCTCCTTGGACGATGGGAAGTGCTGAACGGTGGCAGGTGCCCCGTTAGCCTGAAGAACGACCGTGCAGTGCGGCGCCGCCTGCGTTGGGCACTTGAGGGGGGAAAATTCTGTGCTGTCGGACTGCATTACTCCTCCTCCCCTTTTGCTGTTTCTGTTACGGCTGCCGGCGCTTGTCGCAAAAAGGGCGTCGCAGCGGACACGTGAAAGGGGCACGTTTTCGTTGCTGCTGTTCTTTAGAAGTTTCACCTCAATACTCTTCTTGAGCGTCGTTTTCCGTGCACGCAGGAAAAGCAAAACCAAAAAAAAAGGAAGGAGGAAATAAAACGTCAACAACAATAAGTTCCAGACACGCCGAAGCGCACGCCGACGGCCGGCGGGGGGGGACTCGACAGCAAGAAGAAGAACAATAAAATAAAAACAAATATAATAGTAGCAAACAGAGGAACACAAAGAGAGAGAGAGAGAGAGACGTAAGGGGGTGGCGGGGGGCGCACGAAAGCGGGGCAGCAAAGCCGAGTTTCTTCGCCTCAGCCCAGGTTGCGTAGTGGTGAAGAGGTCCACAGACGCACCACCCCGCAGTCGCTCAGGCAACCAGGTGCATAGCGTGGAAGAGAGCAAGAAAGAAGGAGAAGAGGAAAACAAAGTCATGGGGAACCCACAAAACAATGGAAAAAGGCGTGTAAAGAGATATCTGTCTATTTTCCCCCAACTATCCCGCAGTGTGCCACTTTTTCTTTTGCTTATTTTTGTTGTTGTTGCTGCTGCTCCCCTCTCCCCTCCTTCCGTGCTTGTCCCCTTACCTCGAGCCGTAGGTGTCACTCCACTCACCCAGGGCCTTTAACTGTTTGGGGCAGCAGCTGGGGTGACGCGCCCTCACGCAGGTCTCCACATCTTGCAGCGTTAGGGGCCGCAACAGGTCGCTGTGGTACGCTTGCGCGGCCAACTCCTCCCCATTCCGCAGCTTCTCCGCGAGGAGCTCCCGCACCGGAATCATCGCCGCCTCTTCACAGAGCTGCCGCAGATCATGCCCACTGTACCCCTCCGTCATGGCGACGATGCGCTGCCACACCGCCGGGGTGAAACCATTGGGCGTCTCCTCCGTGCCCAGCAGCGACTGAAGGATCTGCGCACGCGCAGGGGCATCTGGCAGCGGCACAAACACGCGCTTTGGAAATCGCCGGATGATCGCCTCGTCCAGGTCAAATGGCCGGTTCGTCGCCCCCATGACCAGCACGCGCGCCTCACTGTTGTCGTTTCCAGCGCCGTCCATCTGCACGAGAAATTCCGTCTTGATGCGGCGGGAACCCTCCCCCTCGTGGACGCCCCCGCGTGCCTGCAAGAGTGCGTCAATCTCGTCCACAAAAATAGTGCTGGGGGCGAGGGCCCGCGCGACGGCGAAGAGCGCCCGCACCATCTTTTCACTCTCCCCAACCCACTTGCTGGTGATGGCCGCGGCGGAGATGCTAAAGAAGGTCGTATCACATTCCTTCGCCACGGCACTGGCGAGAAGCGTCTTGCCGTTTCCGGGAGGGCCGAATAGCAGCAACCCCGAACACGGCCGCCGCAGGCCGGTAAAAAGCTGTGGGCACTTCGCAGGAAGAATGATGGCCTCGTACAAGATGCGCTTGCACACCTCAAGGCCAGCTATGCCGCTAAAGCTTACAGGGCAGGCACGGTCCACAACCTGCTGCAGCACCGTTACGCATGTCTCTTCGGGAATGCCCTTGCAGTACGCACTTTGCCGCACGCGTTGCAGAAGGGGGTTGGAATTCGCCGTGCGGGACGAATGTTTACTATTATTATTTGTTGTTGTCGTCGTCGTCTTCGTAGCCGCACTGGCCGCAGCGGAGGAGTTTAAGGGCGCTGACGCGTTCGACGGTCGCGCGAAACGAGACGCCGCTGGGGCTGATTTGCGTCCTGCTGGTGGCGCCGTCGTGTTTGCTGCGCCGGTGGTGAAGCGCACCCCGCCCGGCTCACGTGGGCGCGGAGGGAGCGGCGGCGGGGCGCCAAACGTCCCATCGCCCGCGAGCGAGTCACTCCCCGCGGTCCTCCTGCACGACGCCTCGTCACGGTTTACTTTGGGCTGCCGCGAGTTGGGAAGGTCCACAGCGCTAGTCTTGCCAGACTTGCCCCTCGCGACGCTGTGGGCGCAGCAACTGGGCTGGGGGTGCTCGCGCTGTGATCGTTGCGGCTTCGCAGGCTGCTGCGGCGCACGCTTCCCCCCATCCGCCACCGCCTTCTCGTCACCTCTCTTCTTCACAATCGGCTCATGCGCGCTCAGCTCACCGCCGTTGCCGTTGGTGCTGCGTGGCACCGTTGCAAGGTGTCGGGGCCCGCCCTTTGCGAAATTAAACGTCATCTCAACGCTGTTTTTTTTCTGCCTTGTGATGTTAAGTGCGCCTGCGGCCGCCGAGTTTACTGCGGACGTAGTGTGGTTGTTCGACACGCACGCGGAATGCGAGAGCGCGGCGGCGGCGGCGGCGGCGGCCGGGTGGTGTGGGTCCACGTGTCTGTTACCACCGCTGCGCGCGTCGTTCCCCGTCCTTTTTTGGTTGTTTTTGTTGGTGCCGGTGGTAGCGGCACGATGGCAGTCACCGCCCCCGCGACAATCCCCGGCGGCGCCGCTGCTGCCGGGCGGGTCGGTGAAGTACGTGGCCCAGTCCGGCTTGGGCCGTCGCGAAAATGCGGCCCGCATGGGGTTCACCGCCACGCCGTTGTTGTGTGGCCCATCGGACTTAGTGGCTCCCGCGGCCTGCTGCGGAGGGCTCTCGTCGTCAAGCAGCAGCCCGCGACGTTGTGCGTCTTTTTGCGGCGGCGGTCTAAAGACAACAGCCCCAGCCAGGGGAACGGCAGCGCGGATGTTTTGCGGCTTGCATGAGGAGGATACCGCCGCCGCCGCCGGCGCTGCTGGCGCTGGTTGTACGGCCACTAAAGGCGGTGCTGCTCGTCCCACGGGGAGAAGCACGGCGTTGTCTGCCTCATCCACCGCTTTGCCGTCTGGGCCGGAGGTCAGGCGGGGGCGCTTCAAAAACCCTTCAGGGACCTCGTAGGAGCGTTGGCCGCGCTCCGCTGCGGCTGCGCTGAGCAGACGCATCTCCTCCAGCTCCGCCACGCCAACCTCGCGCCGCGGCGGCCCTCCATGCCTGCTCCAGTGCTCCAGCATTTCGAGCAGCAGCAGGCGACCCCGCGGCGGGTGTGCGCCCCTCGCACCGCCGTCGCCGTGTCTGTCGTCGTGGTGGTGGCAGTACTCCTCCACCTTTCGCCTGCCCGCCCCCCTCACCACGACGAGGTAGTTGGCGAGCTGCTCCTTCGTTGTGAGAACACCGCCAACGGAGGTGATCAGGTCGCGTGCGCGCTTCACGTCATTTCCGCGCCCGGTGATGGCGAAAAGCGGCGCCGGCGACGCCATCGCCCGCTCCTGCTCTGCAATCAGTGCGTGGGGAGAGGGGGGAAGTGGGGGCAGTCTAACCTCCACGTGTGCGTCCGTCTGTGCCCGGAGACGGCGGCAGGGACCACACACACGCACACGCGCGCGGAGACGTACGTGCGCGCCCCCGCTCCTCCTCAGTCAATTCCTCCCTTCTAAGTGTCGTTTGTCTGCCGCTCGCGCCGGGCGGCGGGCCTAGTCTAAATAGGGCACTTGTGCGCTGCACACACACACACACACGCACGTACAAGGGGAGTGAGGGGAAAAAGCTAATGCGGGAGCGAACGGAAACCCGGCAGCCATCGGCCGTCAACACCGCATATGCCCACACTGGTGAGGGCCGCCAGAAAAACAACCGGCACCACCACCCCCGCGCACCCTCGCTTCGCCCATTTAGTGTTGAAATGCACCGCTTGGTTTCCGTGCCGCTTTCTCTTCTTTTTCTCCCCTTCGAAGAAGAAGGGGGAGAGGCCTCCTGTTCCTCCTCCTCCTCCTCCCCGCGGGGGGCGGCGGTGGCCCTGTTTTTTTTTTTTTTTACCCTCCCTTTTTTTTTCTTTTACTCGCTGCTTCCGCCGTGGCTCCGCCTCCCCGGGGCGCGCGCGCCAGCCGCCCCACGGGGGCCGGCTGCAGGCGCGGCGGGGAAACGACCCCCCGGTCCAGCAAAACAGCACCGCACAAAAAC